AACAGAAATGGCGAGAAAGAGCATGCTCATCGTGCTGAACTTTCGCGAGAGGGCCTGGTCATGGCCGAGGTAGGCGAGATCCTGCGCATCTTGAGCGACCTGGTCGGCGGTCTTTAGATGGTCGAGCGGTGGGTTCGATTCCGGGTCATTCTCCATAGCTCAAGAGAGATATTGAATGAGTTGGCTTAATGGCGAATTCGATCGTTGAGTTCCTTTCGTGGTCTTCTTTCGCGCGAATGCGTTGCTCAAAGCTTGATGACACTCGAGAGGGAGTTGGCTTTTCGGAGTAAGGTAGGTGGTGGCTTGCGAGAGATTTGAAGTGCTTTTGTATGAAATGCAAGGATGGGTTGGCAGCGCCCAAAATATCCCCCTGGAAATTGATAAGGAGGCGGACTGCTTGCAAGGTTGCAATCAGCTTAGCAGATCAATGTCGCGCTCGTTCACTGACGCTCTGCTTTCTGTGGCCGCAGTACCCAATGTTCGACTCGATTACGGATACAGGAGGTTGTGCCAAAATTGGTGTGTTGAAGATCCGCAAGGTCGAATAAGAGCGCAGCACTCCGTAAGCGTAGAGCGTCTGTGTTTGCATGTATCTTGGCTGTGACCAGTCTACTTCCGCTGTGCAGATTACAGGAGAATGGTCCGGCATTCTTTTCCGTCAAAGTCACGGCCCAGTCGACGAATACTTGGTTAAGGTTTGACAACCGTTGGATCATCGAAGCCATTGCTACCATCAACTCTGCATCTTCAAGTCCCCAAATCATCGTGAGTTACTTACTCCCGCTATCACAAGACCAAGGTCGCGTTATCTGCAGCAATTACGTACTAAGTCAAACAGTTGACACTTTGGACACTCCTAAATCGCGGGGTGAGCCCCACATACCTGGTATCGGCGGGTCGTTCCCAACTTGCGTGGATCGAGTCATGCTCCATCAGAAGTTCAGGACGTCATGGGTAGCCCCAGTCAAGTCGCTATTTACCGTGACCCATCCAAGCTAAATGCATTACCGAGCTGATAAGGAACCCCCACTAGACCCATTTCAACCTAGTGGACTCTCGAGTGAGTGGCCGGATGCCGCGGGGGAAATGTAACAATGTCGTCTCATGAGATTTGAAGCTTTTCAACTCCCTGCCGTGGAGGAAGGCACAACAGTGGGCATAGCTTACCTCGCAGGTCTGTTCACCATCTCGCTCGCTGCCCATACGTAGATGTCAGCGGACGTCGGCAATCACTACTCCGTACACCCGGAAAGCTTGAGTTAGTGCTACGCGTTCGAAATGGGTCCAGAGAAAGAAACAAGGTCGACTGACTCGACATGCATTCAAATTTGTTGACTCGGCCTTGAGTCGTTTTCAGCGCAGAGGACATGATGGTCACTGGTCAGCTCAGTTCAGTCAAGTCACGAAGCTGGGACTAGATTGGTCTTGCACGAATCCTATCTCTAGATATCAGCGGCTCAGTGTCGATGACCAAGTGCATGGTGGCCCGGCTTATAGAAAATCGTGTAAACGAGGTCAAGCCTCCAAAGGCCTTGGGAAGTTCTGCTGTGTCCTAATTGATACCTGTGACTGCATAGGCATATCAGAAACTTGAGAGTGTGCTGGGAGAGTCAGGAGTGGATGTGACGGTCCCTTGGTCGGCCATCCATGGCGCAATCCTTAATCGATGGGCCCTCATCCTTGCGCTCCATAGCCAAACACCTCTATCCGTACAGCTTGCGCAGCTTAGGCTGATAAGTTTCCATTGAGTCCAAGCATACGTAAGGAGTATATTCGTACAATGATTAGTCCAAAGCTCGCTACGGGGTCTGTCAACCGCTTATTAGTGGGATTATTTCGTGTGTTCAGAGCGTGTCTGAAGTTAGCTCCAGCCGCGAAAATACAAAGCAAGGCATCTACGGAGAACTGTATACATCAAGTACGAGGGCTTGATAGAGGCTGGCCGCTGTCTAGACCATGGCCTAGTTTCTTTCCCGATTGAGCCCAACTGGATCTGATACCAGCGGCGCGGCGAGACTAGGGAGCACCCCGGCACACTGGCCCCGGTTTGCGTTCGGTCCTACGGCGAGCTAAAGCTGGTACCTGGCACGTGGGATCACCGGGGATAGCACCTTGGCCAAATTTCTTTCCTGATTTGGCCTGTCATGACGCCTGGTCGTATTGTCGTGACCGGGAATCAAATGCCTATCACCCACCAGCCGACCGCCTTCCGAGCGCGTCTAGCCGCGGGGAAGCATCTCCACCAAGATGCTTTTGTGGCTTCCCCTCACATTTCCATACTACACTTGACAAACTTGTGCGGTATCGGCCAGCTTCAAGCCTCACTCTGCTGCAGCTTGCAAGCTGGTAGCGGGTTCCCCGCACAGTGCTTCGTCCTTGCATCCAAAGGCACCCGGTGGGAGAGCGTGTCATGCCGGGCCGGGGCATCTCTCACAACTGATAGAAGTCTCCGCAATGTGGGCAATCTGGTAATTGGGGCTTCGGCAATGGCCTTATTCGTCCTTAGACGAAGCAAGCAACATAATTGATTGCTTTGTGACCACTCGCGGACGACTCAATGTATATTGAAAAAACTCTTGCTCGTTACACCGTCATCATTCTGGGAATCGAAAAGATATTTCGCTTGAAGAGCTTGGAAGCTTCTCCTTCTTCTTCTTCTGGCCCTCCATCACATTATCCAACTACCTTGATCCCATACAATGGCTTCTGTAAAGTTGACCGCCCCCAATGGGAGAACATACCTCCAGCCCACAGGATTGTTCATCAACAACCAATGGATAGAATCGTCCGACGGTGGCAAGATAGCCAGCATCAATCCTACGTACGATCCAAAAACTGCTCGATGTATAAAATGCTAGACCGTGGTGTTGCTGACAACCTTGCACAGCAACGAACAAGAAATAATCGCTGTGTACGCAGCAACGGCTCATGACGTTGATAGAGCCGTTCAGGCCGCGCGGAAAGCCCTTCATCACCCAAGCTGGAGAGGCCTGCCTGCCTCGGACCGTGGGAAGTGCATGACGCGCCTTGCGCAGTTGATGGAAGAACATCGTGAGACTCTGGCAACCATTGAGACGTGGGACAATGGCAAGCCCTACTCGGTATCGCTCAATGAGGATCTAACCGAGGCCATTGGGACCTTGACGTACTACAGTGGTTTTGCGGACAAGGTCTTCGGTCAGGTGATTGAGACAACACCCGAGAAGTTCGCTTACACTGTTCGCGAGCCAGTTGGAGTTTGCGGCCAAATCATTCCGTAAGAAACATCCAAGCTCCTACTTCTATCTTTTTGTTTCGCTCTTCTCCAACCTTCCGATTCGAGTAGCTCATGGAATTTGCTATAGTTGGAATTACCCCCTGGCAATGGCTGCTTGGAAGCTCGGCCCCGCCTTGGCCTGCGGGAACACAGTTGTCCTCAAACCGGCGGAGCAAACACCACTCTCCATCTTGTATTTTGCCAACCTCGTGGCGGAGGCAGGATTCCCACCCGGCGTGATCAATATTGTCAACGGTCTTGGAGCTGTGACAGGGGCAGCTCTTGCATCCCACATGGATGTCGATAAGATTGCATTCACAGGGTCTACCGGTACTGCGAAGCAGATCATGAAGATGGCAAGTAACAACTTGAAGAACATCACGCTTGAGACGGGTGGAAAGAGCCCATTGATTGTGTTTGAGGACGCTGATTTGGATTTGGCTGTCCACTGGGCCCACGCTGGCATTATGTCGAATCAAGGCCAGATCTGTACCGCGACATCGAGAATTCTAGTGCAGGACACTGTCTACGACAAATTCCTGGCAGCTTTCCGATCTCAGGTCAGGAGAATCTCCAAGGTCGGTGACCCCTTCGAGGAGAGCACTTTCCAGGGACCCCAAATTACCAAGGCCCAATACGATAGAATTCTCACTTATGTCGACATCGGCAAGAAGGAGGGCGCAAAGTTGGAGCTTGGAGGTCATCCCCAGGAACCTAATACCCCCGGATATTTCATCGAACCCACAGTATTCACTGAGGTCACTCCCCAGATGAGGATTTTCCAGGAGGAAGTGTTCGGCCCGTTTGTCGTCATATGCCGCTTCCGCTCCGAGGAAGACGCCATTACCCTGGCTAATGATTCCGTGTACGGTCTTGGAAGCGCGCTGTTCTCTACAAACCTTGCTCGTGCTCATACTGTGGCAAAGAGAATTGAGGCAGGCATGGTCTGGATCAACTCAAGTAACGACAGTGACTGGCGGATACCATTTGGTGGTGTCAAACAGAGCGGTATCGGGAGGGAATTGGGCGAGGCTGGTCTGTCTGCTTATTCAAATATCAAGGCGATTCATGTCAATCTTGCTAGACAGTCAAGGTTGTAGCATACCATTCTTCTGCTTTGAGATAATGGACTACACGTATCAAGAATGAATGCAAAGTAATGCCATCTTTAAACAGGGCACGCAAAGCCATGATCACTTGGATTCTACTTTGCTGGCTCTCAGAGGAATTTCCCTTTCTGACACCCAACTTTCTGCCCCGTCCACACCAATTATGGAAACTGTGTATGAAGTGTCAAGAAAGTCTGTTGTACGAAAACGGAACCGTAATTGCCGGCCAGCAATTACGCCTCATTTACCACAAAGTCGAAATCAATCATCGCCATAGACAGTGCTGCTTAATCTTAAAGCCAAATACCGTGGCTTCGTCACTTAAATTCGTGGAACGTTAGATGTAACAACTTTACACAGTAAGCGCGGGCATGCTACGTGTACCATTGTTAGTAGCCGCATTAAAAAGTTCTTTCTTCAGTTGTACAATCGATAGGACAGGTCACAATCTTCCCCACTATGAGCTGAACCTCCCCTTAAAGTAAATCATGCAAATCTATTGTTGCTATCGTTGTGTGTAAAAGGGAAGTTTTCAAGTGGTTGGAGTATCTGAAGCAAAGGAGAAGTGCAGTGGCGTATGCTACAGCTCAAGATAACAAAGTGTTGAGAACTGTCGGGTCTTCCTATCTGGTGTTGGCACTTGGTCAATTACCAGCCAGAACCAGACGGTTGGGCAGCGCCCCAACCAAAAAGAATTTGAAACAACAGCCCAAGAACACCGCCGACAGCACCAAACACACCGTAGATAACACCGCCAACAAGGCCGACAATGCCAACAACAAGTCCCTCTAGACCTTGGAGAAGCTGGTTCAGGACATCGAAGATACTGAGCAACAGCCCATGGCCGTAAGCTGTATCTCGCATATTACTCCTCAAGTAGGAACTCACGCCTGTCTTCGGAGTATCTACTCATCGTCTCCCAAATGGCTGCAAACTCCACCGTAGGTACCCTGTATCTCGAATACGATCTGGGTGACGTTGTTGGTAATTTGCATCTGGCTAGCCTGTGGCAGAGTTCCTTTATCACGAGCCCTAACGGTGGCAGCTGTGGCATTAGCCGTTTTGATGGCAGCGATGATCTTGTTGGTCTGGGCGTTGACTGACGCCTGAGCAGTGCTATTCTGGACCAAAGTGGACTTCGAATTGATCGAGGCGATTGTGCTGTTCATGGTAGCTGTGAACCCGCGGACCTGGCCGGAAAGCTGGTGAACCGTGTCAACTACACTGAGGGCACGGGCCTCAATCGGGTTGGCAGCCACAATGGTGTTCGCAAGAGCGAGAACGGCGATGATGGAGAACTTCATTTTTGGTGCTGTAGGAGTCTCTAAGAGAATTTTGCAGGAGTGAAGTGACGGTCAAAGTTGTCAGAGAGGGCTAGCAAAGCGAACGTTGTAGAACAGAGAAGGAAGGTGCAAATTAAACTGGAGAACGAGAGCTTGTGAGGAGTGAAGGAGAAGTAATGAAGGAGAAGAAACCTCAAAGTCGAATAGAAAAACGGCATCTTATAACATTGTCACGTTTCGTACAATTCAACCCTGATTTGAAACCGAATTCGTCATTCAGCTTCTGTATTCGACGATGACCGCCATGAGAATCACAGCCACCTAGTCGGCAGCCACTGACGCCTGTTCACAGGCACGCAACCGACACAATCTCTTAGCCACTTGAAGCCATCAAATTATCCCGCTTATCCTGCTCAGGAAAGTGTTTTTCTAGGCTCAGATAGGCTTCTTTTAGGTCTTTTAGAAAATACTTTCCGTCAAATACTATGTCTGAGACCATCCGTGCGAGGCTGAAAGCTCCAATCGTAAAACTTGCGCTTATACTCAGTATCGTTTGTGGACTCTTCCGGATGGAATTGTATTTCCGAGTCTCCGCCACTTTGCTCTTCCTTGTCAAGAATTTCTCTGATCTAGGGGGCCGGAATATTCTTGGCTTGATCGGCCGACAACTTCATCAAAGCGTTCTCCGGGCCGCCCATCGCCGCTAGTCCGAAGTTGTGGCGGCTCGGGAAGATCAAAATTCCTGGGGCTCCGGCTGGTCCGGTCTCACCTGTCGGCCTCGTCCCCGTGCGGCGCCCTAAAGAATACGAACATGAAGAAAAGGTATGCGCTTTAGATTTTATGTAGAAACTAACAGCTTGCTTGTGTCTGCAAGCTGATCAGTGCTCGTAAACTAGAGAGGGATTGAGTCGGGCCCTATACTTAAATTTACCTAATGGTTTGTCGATAACGGCCTGCGCGAAAACCAGTAAGCTGGTCGAGCCTTTTACTTTCCGTATCAAGAGTGAGGGCTTGGTGCTGAACCGTAGTCATTGCCTATAAGTTCGCTACTTACAGCGTTTTCTGTAGGAGTCCTGGGAAAAGTAGCACTCGACGGAAATCTGCCTTGTATTATCTCAAAAGAACGCATTGCCTTGTTATTCGATAGAATACGCGAGCCTATCTTGCTATGCAGCCTAGTTCTTAAGCAATCCCATACTTGGAAAGTGAACGTTGGTTGTACAAGGCATGAAGGTGGACGCATTAAATAGTCTCGAAAAGACGACGAGGAATGATCAGTCTTTGTATTTTTCGAATGCTATATGATACGCTGTTTGGTAAAAAAATATGCGTATGAACTGGAGACTCACTGAAATCTTTCCGTAGTTTATGACGGTTCACGGTTGTAACTTTGCATACCAACCTGTTCTTATGACGTCCGAGACAATTCAGTTTATCCTTCTCTATAGTTTTCTTCGACGAATGAAGTTTTTCGCTTAGCCTCTTGGTATTTGCTACCGTTGAGCGGTACTTTGGCGGCGTCGGGGTGATATCAACCCAAGTTACCCGACTGGCCACGGAAGAGCCCCTATGCAATCCCTTTTCGAATATTCCAAACTGCCTTAGCTCCATTCCATTCCCATCAATGAGTCTGACTGGGTTGTCTCAATGCAGTCTGTCAGAGATAGGAGATTGGACGACTGAAGTTTTTGGGTACGGCCGCAGAATATGCCCTGAACGTTTCTTTGCCGACTCAAGCCTCTGTATTACTATGGCGCTCACACTCGCCGCTTTCACCACTGCTAAGGCTTTGAAAAAGAATGGCAAGGGAATGGAGCTACACTTAAAACCTAAGCCGGATTTTGACATTTCTCACGACTTTCCAAGTTAAGGTTGTACCCCGGAGCAAGCAGCATGCAAAGTTGGTGAGGCAGCTTGATAGAAAGAATCCATTCGAGGCTAGTGATGCTATCCTTTTGCAAAATCCAGATTGTTTCAGCATGAGGTTAGGTACTAGCTAGGTTTGTCTATCAATGCAATCTGTTAGTTTTGCATCCGTATTCCACATCTATCCCAATTTCCAGTCATTGAAGACGATATGGCTTTTTTTTTTTTACTTCATGTTGACTTGGGACGAACTTGGGACATTCTGATCTCACTAGAGCTTAGATGACCGGGTGGTCTCTTCGAACGATCGGAACTCAGGCAATGATGAAGTTCTTGACTTGGGGCCCAACTCTCTCCTCTTGGCATTCATTAGGGTGGCTTCATCCTTCCAGCCCCATGCAATATCCTTTTCCCGGCCGTTACCTTTCCCTTTTAGGATGTTACACATGTATTTGCCGGCAATTGGGAGGAATCTGGGTTTGATTTATTAGCCAGATCTATACTAGAGTGTCCTCCGGTACCGATTGAAAGAAGATTCACGTACTTGTAAGTATCGAAGTTTCCTCCGACGGCTAGGAAGAGGTTCTCCAATTGTGGACGCGGATGGCGACAAAGGAGCCAATCTTCTGTTGGCGTCTTTGCATCCCAACATATTCGCCATCGGTCTGGCATCTTCTTCTGCGCAAACTCAGGCATCATGATGTTCAAGAGTCTCTGACTTTCGGTTTTCAATTTCTGCGGCACATCTTCTTGTCCTCTTCCAGATGGAACAGAAACCACATGACCTTCAGATAGAGCGACTCGATTGACGAACTCGGTTTGAAGGTCATTAATCTTCATGATCCGATTCTCTCGTGACGGCGGCGTCAGGATCCCCCAGGATTTATAAATGACGATCGGCATCCCAGCTTCGTACATGTTCTTTGTTTCTTCGGGCGAGAGCTCGTAGTAAGCTGAGATCCTGCCAACTGCTGTGATCTGCCGTTCAATGCGGTCGCAAGATGCGAGACCAAGCAAAGCTTCTATTGGCGCAAGTAGATGACTCGTCCAGGCACCTGCTGACAAGACGATTCGGTCTGCCGTCAATTGCCGGCCGTCTTTCATTCTTACACCAAGCACTCGTCCGAGAGATGAATCAAACATCAGCTCTTCCACTTCTCCAATAATTGTCTCAACCCCGTTTCGTTTCGCTGCGGCCATCAAATTTTGGGTCGCCAGTGCTGCATCGCACCACCCAGCTTCTGGATTGAAGAATGCTGTCCCTAGCCCACTTGTTTCCAAGCCCTGAAAGGGCTTCCATCGCTTTTTGAGATCTTCAACATCGGCATCAGTGGTATAGTCAGAGCCTCTCTGCTTGAGTGTCTTTCGCACGGCGTCGGAGAACTGGTTGTTTTCTTCGTCGATTGTCACGCACCCGGTCTTGTGAAAGAAGTGACCGAGATTGACATCCCAAAACCACGGATGAATGGCTTCGCTGGCGAGGTTGCAGTAAAGCGGTCTCACGTAATTTGTTTGAATGATTCGATTGACGTCTATGGCGGCGGCTTTGTTTCCTCCAGGGTCGGACGGTGCCCACCGGTCGACTACAGTTACGCGACTGGCGTCTCGGTAGGTTCGAGAGAGGTGGTAGGCCGTGGAAGTGCCGAATGTTCCACCACCTACGATAAGTACCGTGGGCTCAGCCATGCTGTCCAGATGAAGACGCCCAAGTCGCGACTGAATGGCAGCTTTTCAGGTAATTGAGATCGACCTTTAGGGTTTCACGGGCATAGGCTTGTGAAAGGAGGGTTCATCGGATTTTTGCTGGGTCGGACGGGGTCGTCTTATGGAGCTCCGGAGAATCATAACCGTTCTTAGGTAGAAACATGATATACCGTAAATATCCGACTCTGCCGAAACCCCGAGAAACCCCCATGCGGGTGATATTTCCCGTTTGGTGGGGACCCCAGGAAATCCACAGCACTTCAAAATTGACTTTTGCCACGACGATGGAAAGTGCGGGGTTGAGACACATGACTTCGGCACTCGCGTCGATGCTTGTTCTTGGCTACTTGGTTCAGGGGCAAAATGATTCATGACCTCTGTCTTATCACCACTACCAAAGAGTAATTGTCCCTTTCCTAGAGCCTCGAAAGTAAGTCATAAACGGTATTCCCGTATTCCCCATTACCAGGAACTCTAGGAAAACTCAAGGTCCAGAATCATAACAGCGGTGAGGATTAGTGTGTTGAATAATTCATGTTCTCGTTGTCGAGTTGTTGGGAACCCATTTCATACATACGGGAGTAAAGTGCGGCACATACTTAAGCAGCATGGCTTGACTCACAGCAAGCCGAATAGGCGAGAAACCTTGGTCAATGGCTAGTGCCTCATAATTAATAGGTTATCAGTAACTTAAACATAGTTGCTAGCATGCCATAACTATGGAGCTGTTCTTTCGTTTGTGGTATAGCAAAACCGAGGCAAATGTCTTGTTAATCCCATTCAACTATTTTCGCTGACATCTGACTAGGTGCCACCGCCTTCTGACTGGGTTGATCTCACGCAAATATCATTGTCTATGACAGCAGTGTAAATGGTAAATTTCTACTCTTCACGAACGAGGCACGCTATTCGTATCAAGGAGAGAGCAATACGAGTTCGAAAACTCCATTACTCCAGCATTTCTCCACTTGCTGGTTCTTTGTCTGTTGGCGCGACGGGCTCTTCACTTATAGGAATCGCCACTCCTGTTCGTTCACGGTCCTTGTGCTGTTGATGCGCCTCAATCATCATCCTCTTCATTGTACGCTTTTTCTGTCGAGCTTCGCGTAGTCTAGCAGGTACGTCGCGGTATATTAATCTTTGTCTTTCCGCCCGGAACTCCAGTATTTCGATCAGAAGCTTGATTCGACGGTATTCCATGCGGAAATCCTCGCCTTTTATATTCATTCCTCCGACAGATTCCTTCGGGCGCTCCCAGGGAATTGCAGGGACAACAGGGACCGTTGCCAAGCAGGCATGAGAGATTGGCTCTATCGTAGATGTTTCGGCGGTCATAGTAATTTGTCGTGCGCCGAAAATGTCGGACGAGACCTTCAATGCCCACGTTAGAATCGCGGAGGCAACCATTGACGTACGAGAAGAAGAATGTAATCGTCTTCAGCGATGCCGACACCGTGATCTGAACTCCCTTGTTCCTGTGGCACGGTGATGATGGGGGCAGAATTCAGAGCTTGACACTTACAATGAAATGGTTCAATAGTCTATTAGGTTTTCAGCTGACCTAAGGGACAAACTGAAAACTGCGTAAGGTAGCAAGCAATGTGTCGCAATGGATCTAGGGAACCGCGACACACGATGAGTTTTTCGGTTCTAGAGATGAAAGAATGAAGTCCGTGTCGGTCTCTGCGAACTCAGGGGCGCCTCGATGTCCCCCTCTACCTTTACCATCGAAAGGGTTGTGATTACAACGACGCCCGTTGGTGGCAATTTCAATTGTTTGCTTCCCTTTTCGGCCTGCGCCGTTAACGCCACCAACAATACCATTAAAAGTCGCCCGGTCGGTGCTGGAGGCATCAGCGGCCAAACACCAGCCAGCAGCGCCAGAGTCACGGATAACTGCTTCAAGCGAAGAACACATCAAAGCGACGTTCGATTTAATCACAGGACGAACCTTGATCCTAGAAGCCGTTCAATGTTATTGAGAGGCATCATAGGCATTGATGTGTTCTGTGACACGTCTGACAAGGCGAGGTGTAACACATGCAGGGTGTAGCTAACATTACGCCCGTATCTTGCCGCAGGCAAGGGACAGGGATGCACAGTTTTTGTTCCAGGTCCTCTGTTCTCCGTGAGTGGACAAAACGAGGGCCATGTTATTGGCAGGCATGATGAGGAAAGTGGGGAGGGAGGGCTTCAACAGATAGTTTCTCAATATTTGTTGATGCACTTCGGCAGGGCAGCCTTTTCGCCGGGACTAAGCTTAAAAATATGGTATTAAACTGCGTACTGGTATGTGGAAGGATGGGTGTAAGTGGGTGGAGGTGCCATTTGCACGGCCCAGACTACTTTTTAAAAACCTTTTTGCCCACTGCTCATTATCCTAACAATATGAAATGGGGGCCAGTGAATGAAATAAACCCATGGAAGCAGGCTACGTTAGAGAGGTCGGACTCTGCTGAGCTGAGATGGACCAAGTGGTGCTGTGACTTTTGTCAACGACTGCCGCATGTTACTGGTGCAGTTGCCTCCTTCTCTATTGCGTCTGAACTCGATATCTTCTACAACATAGCAGAAAGTCAATAAGTTCCTAAGAACTGGAAGCCACATGGGATGGCAGCTACACCTTGTTGTCTCTTAGTGTAAGAGAGGAAGGGGAAGAGCAACTACAATGAGAAAGCAAGGTGCAGACGTTACATGCCTGAATACCTTGGGTTGATGGAGTTGAAATTTGTTGACCTCAAGACAGGAGTGAACAACTACCCAATTGAACTACCTTACCTAAGATAAGGCAAGGTACCTTGAGTCAAGGGGAAGGACCGGGCATCCAAAGGCTGACTTGCCTTGGGTAAAGTACCTTAGTAGGTAGGTGTACCTTCAGGTCGCTACTCCTGCCATGATACCTCGTGGCAAACTCCCAACGGACCTCACAATGGAAGGTACGTTGAATTGACTGACGACAGGCTAGGAGCTGCCACCATTGCAGCCTCATTGAATGAAACTTCCGCCTCGCTTGTTACGCTTCACGGGATGTTCCTCTTCCCTCTCTTCACGTCCTCCTCTTCCTCCTTGTTCTTCTTCCACATCGCAACCTCCACATCACCAAGGCAAACCATATCAGCATCACCGACAGCTCCATGCCCCCAATACACATATCCCTTTGACGATCCAGCAACTGCTTAATCCGGGCAAAGATCACTAGTATTGATTGTCACGTTCAGTGATTCGATTCGCGAACGGAATCCAGAGTCCCGCATACCAGCAGCTCTCGGCTACCGCCACGAACACCGAGCTTTTCTACCGTCCACTCAAGTCCTCGGACGTTTTCTACATTGACCATGGGCGTCATCACTAACATGACTGATCATATACTTACTGCTCTTGGAGTGCCCCGCGTTGTGTATGCTCTTTCCTTCGTCTTTACGGCTTTTTGCCCGTTGTGGTCTCTAGCTAACATGTCTCGCGCACTCTAGTGACAGATCGCTAGACGGGGGGCACATGAACGTAGATAAGCCAGAAATTGGGATGATCCTCACATGTAAGCTATCATTTGATATCTCTCCTTTCTCATCGCGGTCAGATTGTGCTAAGACGATGCACCCTTCAGACCCACCGACTTACACGCAACCACCGGGTAACAACGTCCCGAGCCAAATGCTTGCTTTCAAGCCGTCACTTCTCGGCAGCGAGGGGAAAGTGAAACTCGTACCCCGCGGAACCCAGCAGAAGTGCGAATATCTTGGAGTCACTGCCCACAGAATCAATCCCGACGATGCAACCAGGCTCCAGCTTCTAACACTTTAGGAAAAAACCAGATGGCGAATTGCAAGACATTTGGGCATCCGAGTACATTGTTCAGCTTGGTGACCCCGACTCCTGGACCAACTACTTTGAGCTTCATAATCGTCAAGACATCCTCCCTTGGGATAGATCAACCACAAAGGTCATCAAAGTCCTGGGGCACCATATTGGCCAAGGCGATCGACTTATCCTACGAATACAATACGAAGGAGAGCACGAGGGGAATGCTGGAAACGTGGACGAGGTGTGGATGAGGTCTTTTTATCCTCAACTCCTTCGTGAATATTGGCTTCGGTACCGAACGGCACCCTTCAAAGCCCGCTGGGCTGCCCGCCGGGCTGGGGAACATGGACCACGACCCGCTACCGATGAATGGTGGAAGCGAGCTCCGTCAAATGTCAAACACGGGAATCTCCGATATATGAACTGGCTCAACGTCTTGAGCATCCGACCAAGCAGGCTACCCAGAATACGGGTTCGGGACCAGATTGCCGGATTTTTCGGCCGATGGGCTGATGCAGAGAGTGAGTTGAACACCCCTAGTCTTCTGGTGCCGGATTATATTTGTTTGCATTCGGATTGCTAATGGATCCTGGTCAGCGATCCCGCCCCGATAGCCGCTTCCAAGACCTGGTCGGTAATCCCGCGAGCTACATACACCCCCCGATGCTCGTGTGTGTATATGCGTTTCGATCCGATGTGCCAGCGAGGAACTCTTTCGATGTGGAGTGGAGGATTCACCTTCGGAATTCTTAGTGAAAAGGATTTTCCTCACAGCGATTGTGGTGGGTGCCGAAATGCAGTCAAGTTGACTTAGACATGGCTCGGTTTGAAAGTCCGCATCAGCGTCCGTTGTATTATCCTTTCAGTACATTCTGGGTATCGTAGCGCTTTTGTATTACATTGTTCTCAAATCCTCCTTCCTTCGGCAGTGCTCCTAACAGCAATGGCTGTGGTAATTGGGCATTGGACGGATAAAGACAAATGAGCCAATACTACTAGCTCATAATTGCCCGGGAGAGAGCAGCTCGTTCCTGGCTGCGGCTTGACTTGAGCAACTCGGGCTGGCCGCCTCGTTTCCCGCAAATCGTTTCCCATCTTCCAATGCGCCACCTTGTTTGTGCCTGGCGTTGGCGCTGCTGCATCGTCCTCGTCCTGACTACGCAGCGCAATGCTGCTGGCAGCTACTATAGCCAGGCTATTCGGCACAGCAAGCCATGAACAGCGACATGCGCCGCCTCGTCGTCACCATTTGTAGCCAAGGTGCAGTCTACTGGTTCTCCAAAACGTCAAAAATTCCTTCGAAGACTGGCGCTGGCGCGGGAGGGCGTGACTCGCCCTTGAGACTCCGGCTCAACGAGTCCATTGACATGGATGTGGCCATGCCGCCGCCCGGGAAACCGAGCGACACTGACCTCATCTGACGTGGTTCCAGCATTCCCATTCCGATTTCGGCGGCTCCGGAAGCCGATCGCTCTGCGCCGAGGGCAAGATCTAGCCTTGAAGAGGACCTCCGCAAAGGTGAGCGCCCATGCAGGTTCGGTGTCTGAGAGAATGATCTCGATGGTGGGGGAAAGAGGCGAGTGGCCAATGCGGGTGACGATGGTGAGGGCGAAGAAAAGGAAGGCCGGGAGACGGAAGATGAAGTAGAGGAGGAGGAAGACCTGCGCGAGGAAGAGGACGGCTGCCTATCGGAGGACATGTACTCAATCTCGAGGAGGTGGAGAAGGTCGGTGACCGTGACACCATCGGGAAGGTTGAAATCTGGCCGAGAGATTCGGTGGTAAGCGGGTGGTCCCATTCGGGCTCCGTTGGTGGACGGCCGGCGGGGTTGAAGTTGCGGCTGCGATGGCGGTGGCGGTGGTAGTGGATGATGAAGATGTGATGCTGATGGTGGTGGTGATGGAAGTGGTTGGCTGCCGGATTGAGGTACAGCGGTTTCGTCGTACCGCGGGGACTGCGTAACCTTCGCCGGTTCGGGCAGCCCGCTCATGACAACAGGGCCGCCGGCGGGCGAGGAGCAGCTGCTGACGGGACTTGAGAGCAGTTCACCGTACCCCTTGGCGGGCCGGTGACTCTGAGCTGGCTCGGCCCCCTGAGAAAAGGTGCTGCTGCGGTTGAGGTAGTAGTCATCTCTGGGGCTGTCCAAACTTGGCTGCTGCTGCTGCTGACGATGCCTCTGTCTCAAGGACGGAGCCCTCTGAAAGGCTGTCTGAAGTGACAGCCTTCCCCGACGCGACTTTGATAGATGAGGAAGCGGCTCCCGAGCCGGCGAGTCGGGCGCGGGCGCGTTGTAGCCCGTCTCGGAGACGGCAAAGGGCTCAGCGGAGGAGGTTGATTTCAAAGCCTCGAAGGTGGAGACGGCCTGGGACACGGGAACGTTTTGGTGACCAGTGTGGTTCATCTCCTGGATGAGGTACTGGAGTTGGTTGTCGTCGAGGTCGGCGAGGACTTCGTATAAGGAGCCCAGGGAGGCGGAGGGTTTGTGCCGCCTAGCGCTGTGAGAAGGTTTCGCGACGGCGTCCATTGTGGCGACACTGCGACTGTTGTTGCCGCTGCCAGTCTGACTATCGTGAGATTCCGTCATGGTACGCAAGGTACGGAAGGGTACTGGTGAAAGTGGTGACGGTAGGTAATTGGGCGTATCAGGCGCTCTGGCTGGAATGACACTGTGAGACAGTGAGTCTCATTGCTGCTTCAGTGAAACACGACCCGACGGGTGAATGAGGGTGGGTTGAGTTGCATGAACTTGCTGCAGCCTGCGGGCCACGCACGCACGCGCGAACACGGGACGGGACTTCGGAAGGGAGGGAGGGATCGATGGAGGGTCAGACCAGCTGCAACCTCAGGTTCAAGGGGGATGGATGATGGGGAAGAATTGAGTACGAAGTATCCGTACTCCCACAGGATGCGCAACAAAAGCAGACGGCGATCGGGACGAGACAGGAAGAAATACGAAACGAATTGTGAACTGCAGAAAGGGAAATGGGCAATTCCAGATAAGCAAGGTCATAAAGTAAGGCAAGCTACGGATACGCGTTCAAGATGTGCTCCGTGTTGAATCCCTTTTTGTCCTTCCATAAGATGAGAAAGGACGAACCCTTTAGCCTGGAGACGGACGCGGTATGCGGAACGCGAGGGACACAACGCAGAGTGCGGCAGGCTTATGCAAAGCAGCAAAAGCATACGGTTCGTTCGGGTAGCCGTGGCGCGGCGGTCCTTTGACGTGACAGGGGTAAAAAGGGGCCAAATCTTAAAAATTTGGGCTTAGGTAATATTTCAGATCATCATGGGATCAAACGTGATGGAGTCGCAATAGTCGCGACTTTGCCCGTTTGGGATAAGGTACCTAGGTACCCACGTTCAGGGCCTTATCGTCAACGTCATTTCGGTTCGAGCTTATCGATAATGAGACTGGTCGATAAGGTACCAACAGGAGGGAGGCCATTCTCACGCTTAACATTCTCCAAATGGATCTCGTGTTTCCTCAAAGTCCATAGCAAATCGGGATTACGAGTTGTAATCCAGCAAAGGGGATTTTGACTACATTTAGTCACCTAAGCAATTGATCAAAAGACCTTCCGTGCTACAAACGAGTTACTCTCCCACAAACATGTCCGATACTATCAAACATCTCAAATCCCAACGACGGATGAATTGAGATATGCACGAACCAAGACCAATCAGTCCTCCTCGACTTCACTTTCAATCTCTGCATCACTGTACACGATCTCGTCCTCGTATGTATCGCTATCATCCTCTTCGTTGGCACCCATGCCGTCCACAGCAAATACGTCAATGTGATGATCGCCGTCGTCCTGTTCGTCATCTCCCTTACTCGGGATAGGAGCAAACATCCTCTCTTGGCTATCGATGACGTCTTGGCGGAAAAATGGGTGGTCTTCCTGAAGAGGATGTAGCCCATACTGAACGTTCCATCTCCTATTCAGAGTCATCATCAAGATGCGGTTGACCAAAATGCCCCGAAGCAGATAAATGGTCTGCTTGACACTGGAACGGTCGGGACATAAGTGACGGATACGCTTGCAGTGTCCCATCTCGGGGTCTCTCGTTGAGCAAAAACTCCCGTACGGCAAGTCGGTCAGCAGCGTCGAGGTTCTGCAAATGAAGAATGCCAGCATTACCACGCAGCACATCTGAGGTGAAGAATTTAACAAGCGCCTCCTCGACGTCTGTTCTCAAGAAGAGCAATAAGAATCCTCCCTCAGCTCGTCGAATGACTTCGATCGAGTTCGGAAATTAGTGAGTGAGGCTGTACAGATAATTGTGAACGAGCCGCAAGAGGTCTTGAGCCACTTTTCAACGATAAGGATGTCCATAAACAGTCGTCTGTGATCCAGAGGGATAGACCAGCTGCGTTCGCACGGTCAAGGTATAATCAGACTCGTCCAAAATGTCGCGGTATCGAGTGCGTGGCCACGACTGGACGTTAACCATTGGTCTAGCTTCCGGCATTCTATTGTCCATCATCCGCTGCAGACCACTCAACATGAAAGACAGGCTGTGCTCTAGCTGACAAACCATAACCCCGGCTTGCTTCACCACGGTTCTATTCACTCTCTGGTATGCTCGAATGAGGTTTTTCTGTGTAGGGGTTCGACGGGAGAACGGAATGTGCCGAACTTGTTAACGGAGAAGACCGCCAAGGCGTGCCTGAAGAAGCTGTGCCGTTTGCAACAAGAGCGCTTTGGGGACAACTACTCTTACAAGGTTATAAGTATTCGCCAATGTAGCGGCCACCATAGGTATGATACAAGACGTCTTGCCTGTTCGCAATTAGCCATCAGCATCACAATCATGAAGAGAGTGTGTGGACGGAGGTATCCGCCTAACTGACCTTGTCCCATGTTCATCTGCAAGACAGAATTGCAGCCGGAAGCTGGAGATATTGTAGCCAAAGCTACGTCAACCTGATCAGGTCGAATCATCAGGTTCGCTTCGATTTCTAGAAGCAACCAATGGGGATACTCGGACGGCTACTAATTCCAATGGCCCTTATTTCTCGTTTCGTCTGCGTATCTTCCTGCATCGCCACGCATTGCGGCATGGTTGATACGGAGATCTCGCTGGGCTTCTGTGATTGGAATCCCAAAGTCCAGCAATGCCTCGAAAACCAATTTACCAAACTGAACGGACGTGGCTGTCGATCGTAGTTGTTCTAGTAAGGTTACTGTAGTTATCGTAGGCAAAACCTGCCCGGCCTTAAGCCAATGCACGCATTCGGCAGAGAGGCTTTTGTCGGAATTCTCTAGAGCAAGAGCAATGGCCCTGTAGTTTCTTTGAGTCGAGAGCATCGATAGCGAAACATCTCGAGGAACAAAATCCAGTGGAGAATCGTCTCTGGTGTGCTTGGACGCATGCTTGGTAACAAATGCGTCCAGACTCTTCCTCAAGTCCTCCGCGTATCTCTGGCGGACCAGCGGCTTCGAGTTGGACAGAGTCGACACAACATTTGTTAGTTCGGTATCGGCACTTATCGAAGGAAGCAGCGTCGTCTTTGCGGACATCCAACTCGGTGCTAGAACGTTCGTACCTGAACTCCGCATCGTTTAGGATGGAAGCTTGATTGGCTGGCGGATGTGAGCTGGATGGCGGAAAGAGTTGACAGACCCGCCGGAATTGGGGCTGGCGATGTTGCCTTTGTTCTCTGCTTTCAAGTTGGCCGTTCCACTGCTGTGAGTATTCGACACTGTCTTTCTCAACAAATCAAACCTCAACGAAGGGATCTCACCACCACGCAGCCGCTCTCCAAAACTCTCCTCCGATGGGATGAAGCACGAGGTCTCGTACTCTGGTTCAGTTCGACGTTGATCCAGAATGGATTGAACAGTGTTCAAGTGTGCACATAGGTCCCTGTTTTGATAGAGGCACTTCCATTCCGCTCGGACCGCACACAAAGCAGCTTCGATATCGATCAGCAAAGGCTTCGGTATATCTGCAACACCCGGCTCGATACAAGGCCACTGCGCAAGTAAAACTTTTGCCAAGAACCTGTCATCATCGTCGGTCTTGAGATCCCAAGCTGCTTTCTCATCTCTCATCCGTCGAAGCTTTTTGGCACTGGCAAAGCTTTTGAGATCGTCACCATCAGTATTGGGAACTGGAGTCTTGAATGATTCAATCACTCGAATAATGTTATCAAGCTGAGGAACTTGGTTGGGCTGAAAGTTCCGATACTCGACCCAGGAAGGCAGCTCAACGGCTTTAAGATCCTTAAACACTGCAAAAGCCGCTAGGGTCTTGACAAGCCTCAAGTCGGCTTTTGAGCCGTACGAAATTGATGCCAGCATGAACATCAGCACGAAGGGGTTTTGTTGTTCCCGACAAGATTTGACCAAAGAGCCCCAGTTCGCCGCAATGTCAATGCCCAGGCAGTCATTCAAGGAGTTCTTCTTGCAGATTTCTGGGAATCCACCGATCAAGTTACTTTGAGAAAGTTGCTGCGCCAGAAACTGCGTCGTCGACGCCTTTTGTGGCCAAGTCCGGAGAAAGTTGACGATTTCCAATACTTGCGAGTGGCGCTAATTAGAAGATGCCGGGACGTCGCGTGACAGGTGCTTGCAGTCAATGGCCTTCGGAGTGTTTGTGCTGTTATCGAAAGACCGCTCATAGATCTGCCTGCGAAGCCTGGCCCGGTTATGCAGGTGAAGGTCGCCTGCGGGCGGCAGTATAACGAGGTCGACATCGATGAGCGCAAAGGCTTGGAGCTCTGCCGAGATTGACAGAATTTGTTCCGCAATAGGTCTGAACAATTCATGCTGTACACCTTCCGTTAAGATCATGTCCCAGTGATCGGATTTCATGACTTTGAGGTCGGTTGGATAATAATCATGCCGTGGACTGAGCTACGCGATCTGGAATAGTACTTGGACTGGTCCGCCATGAAGGGGAGACCAGGGTTGACAGATCCCGGAGCTTAACCATTGTAATGCCTCCTCGGTGCCAGCCCGTCTAGTGAGAGGGTCTGGGAACGGCGAAGATGTATATGCGTGCAGCAGTGCTTCCATATAGAGAAGCATCGGCTCTGGAGCAGACTCGATGCGGCCGAGGTGCTTGTTGATGACAAATTTGCCATATTCCCCACTGGGTAGCATGCGCACAAGCATCATGTTGTCATTTTGCTTTGCTTTCACGGGGCCAATTGGTGTTAAGATGCTTCCCTGTTGATTATCGCGTGGGTTCCGGAGAACCAGCTTGCTTTCGAAGCCGTACCAGTGCCCGCATCTTGATCTAAGTCAATCTTACAACGCAGTTGAGGTGACTTGAGCAGGTTGCGGGCATTGATATAGAAAAAAAGTTGTAACCGGCGTATTTCTACGCTCACATGTCCTGTTTCCGGCTGAAACACGAGGAGGTGCATCCGATTTTCAAAGCCATGGAAAATGCGAGCAATGAGGGTGAATAGGCGACTGTGCGGGTCGACAAGCCGCGCAATGCGATTGACATTCAAATTGTTTCTGGTACAGCGGCCCTTGTGAATATCGAGGACCCAGTTGTGGTGGCCGATCTTCCATTTGTCGGCGTTCGGGGTAATGAGTACTTTCCCGCTTCCTAGGTCGCTTTTGTGGTTTGAGAAGTTAGCTGAAGTCCTCTTCCGCACGCTACTTTTCCAAAACTCACAGCCAGTGAACGTAATCATTCAGAAGAGGGCCGGGCAGATCACACAAGTCTCGCAATTTGCATTTGTCTCTCTGTATCAATTGGAGGTACTGCTGTCCTTTAGTTGCCCGGATGACTATAGAACTACCGTCATAACCAAAATCGATGCGGTGTCCACGATGCTTGACAGTCAGTGCTAGTAATCCAGCCAACTAAACCAATTTCACAGTCTCTTGAGAACAGGGCTCACTGTAGTTCATTCCAAGCATATCCGAAGGACGAGTAAGCAACGCCTGCTCCCCAAAAAGTTCTGTGAGGACTTCTGTATGTTCGGGCGGCTTAGGAAGTCTCTATCAATAGGTCAGCCTATCTCACTGTCCGGTTTCTGAAGAAGGAATAATACATACTCCAAGGGGATGGTTGTCGACAAGAAGCAATCCCGTGCAAGTATTGTACTGAACCGTCTGCATGCACTCTTCCCAACCATCATGGCCTTGAATCCCGCAGATCACCCATTCTGACCCAACCTGAAGGGACGAGATCGTACGAGGAAAACCATCGGCCTCAGGCCACACAGTAATGATTGCGGTTCTGAAGACGTCAGGTGAAGATGCAATAGACTTGCATACGAGTGGTGATAGACGGTATGAGAGCTTCATATCCGAAACCACAGCGTGCTGAAGAACTTGAGGCAGTGGCCCAACCTCAACAACCAAATTATCCTGAATAGTGATACAACACTCGATGTATGTTCTCAACGACAGGGGATCAAGATTTGTAAGCTGGTTTACGTGGATGATGTATGTGCGCTTGCAAAGAATCGCTGCCCAAAGAGCGTACTGTTGACAACTACGAGCTGTTTCCGTATCGGTTGTTCGTAATGTCTCCCACCGAAGCATTTCAACCCATCGCAGGCAGATTTGGTGGGCTCGAATCATGGTCGACGATCCTTTTGGGCGGAGGCCTTAGGCCGTCAACGCGGAAATCCGAAGCAAAAGCGTGATCAAAATGTCCATTTGATACGGTTCGCGCCAATTGGCTTGGAAACTTTCCAATCTTATCTGAATCTGCTCGAAAAGCCTGTTGCAGAACGATTCGTTTCGAAAGGTATGATGCGTGGCTCGGAGAATGTCACCGGAGTTGTCTTGCGGGCCGCTTTGAAGAACAAGATGGGTCACCAGAAGCATCGTTACTTCGCTTGAGAAATTCAGGTTTGTGGAAGCTAGCTCCGTGAGCAGTACAATCCAGCGTTGGATTTTCCCGGTCATGAGCGTTTGCATGGCAAGATACTCGTGATTATTGATCCCCGGAAGGCAGCTTGACTGGCTAGCCACGACACCGTAGGAGGATGGACCTGGGCCGCTTAGCGAGTACGCTTTCGTATCCATGAGCGTCCTCCACGATGAGTTCTTTGGCAAGATCAAAGCCACGTGGAGATCAAACAAAGGTTGGGATCCCAGACGGCCGGGCTAGGTTGAGGTCGACTCGTCAAAGTATCCGAGCTTCAGAGCGTTCGGGCGACATTCACCATCCCGGCCTCCTTCCCATTCGACCGGGAAGGGAACTGTAATGTAATGAGCATGTTATGGACTGTGTTTCTCAACAGTTAGACATGATTTGCCCTGCAAGACATGAAAAGGTGGCAGAACGCTGACTATCATTGCGGGAATGGCGACAAGAGAATCAACCACAGCGGAAATTTACAAGGCTTCGTAGTGGAGGCTAGTCCAAGCTTATGATGACCCGGTCTCCAGAAAGACTTCAGCTGGAGATAATCTCTCAGGAAATACCGAGGCAGAACGGCCTTGTCGTCGAAGTGAGTCGCGAGCTGTCGAAGAAGCCACCATGTGGTGTCTCGATATGCCGCAAACTCCTTTGGGCAAGCTAATTCGAAAATCACCGCTCGTGCAACGACTGGGTCCCTAGGGAGAGGACCTTCAAAGATGTTGATGCGCATACTTTGGGCCCTTTCCATCATGGACCATCTCGAACAGTCACGGTCATGGTACCCCCGGCCCAGAGGCTTGTACTCGAAGATGTATGTGCAGGCGCTGGCGTCGATGCGGCTGATCAAGTCGTGGTATTCCTTGCTCTTGCTCATCCACTTCCATGCTTTGTGATCGCGCATATCGTCGGCTAGCTTTATGATGGTTCCGTGCAAACTTTTCAAGACGGGTCCATCACTTGACTCCTTGTATTACCGCTCAGCAAAACAACCTGGCGAAGGGTCCTCAAAAATGTTGCGGCGGCTAGCACTGGCCTTTTTGACGCGAGCTATCTCAGGAGGCCTTAAAGAATGTTGAGGCGTCTCATGTCCTCCAGCTGGGGCAAGAGGAGCACGTCGAGCATTTGCGGGTGGAACAGTGGGTGGAATTCCGTCATTAGGGGAAATGAAGCACAAGCGATCAAATCCATCTTTATCCACAACTCCATGACTGTCAAAAGCATCTGGCTTTTTTGTACCGCGTTGCCTTTGTACAGAGGAATCGCTATGTTCGTGTAGTTAAAGATTTGCTGAGAAATTTTTAAACAGGAATCTTCGGTTGATGCGAGAAGCTTGGTCTCGGTGTTGATCAGCTTATGATAGCCCCGAGCGTAGTGGCTGAGATGGTCTTTGGCTGTCTCAAGTGGGCCTTCGCTTGGTATTTGCCGATATTATTGTCTTCGGCGCGTGCGCTTTGTAGCCAGAGATGACTTTTTTAACGTAGTCATAGCTGACCCTGAGGCCAAGTTTCATGTTTGAGAAAGGTGCTTTGCGTGGAAGCGGGAGGATTTGTTTAGTTAAGCTCATCCTCTTCTGAGTAATCGCGCGATGGAAAAAGTGAGAACACTTGTCGATGGTTGTGGTGAAGGTAGGATTGAGCCGATTGAAGAGAAAGTCGTATATCGAGATGGCGGCACGATCCTGGGAGCGACTTCTATCCAGATCGATCTTGACGAGTCGGCGGCAGACTTTCTTTTTCAGAAAGTGGATATTCTCCGTGGTGGCTTAGAAAGTGATTGTTGCGTCGAGAAACGTTGACAAAAGCACACACATGAAGAACTTGTATTCAAGGCGACCTTGCTCCGGGTTTAACGACACGCAGAGGTACCTCTCGATGCAGACACGGAGAATGAGGTAGTAAGGTCATGGCTTCTTGGCACGATCCCAGCAGAAGTCGTCGTGAACACGCTTCCTGAGAAGGACTGGGGCAATCCGTTGGCCGTTTTCTTCGAGGATTGCCATGAGGAAGGAGGTGATAATGGAAGAGTCACCTATGTTGCGGTACTCAAAGATATTGGTACCGGCCTTGAAGGCGTGAGCAGCGAAATCTTTGACGATTTCTAACGACGGCTGCTCAATGAAGGTGGCTAAACTGGATTGGAAGTGATGATCGGCGAAGATTGTGAAAGGAATGGCGACCGCAATGCCGGGGAAATCCCGTAGTAGAGCGCTCTTGGTGGCCAAGACATTCTCATTCTTGGCAGATGCTTCGAAGGCTTCGAAGACGACACTATCACTGAATATGGGACTAGAGAAAAAGCTTGCTAGCGGAGCATGGACTCATGAAGATCACGGCTTCCAGTACGAATGAAAACTTACTCTTGTGCTCGGCGAATGATGAGGCCAGCATTCTGTTTCTCAATGTATAGAACGATACAGCCAGACGGACCCAGGTCGTGTAATTCTTTGGAGAGGTTAGCTTTGTCGGTATGTCCGGCTGTGTTGAGATGCTGGCAAGTAAGGAGGGTTTTGCGAGTTGCATCCCAGACATCGCGGCACTGGTCTGCGTTGCCAGGTAATTCGCCCATAACCTTGGCGGCGGCTGCCAAGCGCTAAACGAGATCAGACTCGATAAGATGGATTTGATTCTCGGGGTCTCGCTGCTGCGGGAGTTTGGCTGGCATCGCCAGATGATTGAATAGCGCACCATAGAGGGCTGCTGGCGATTCCAGCGAGGAGTCCATGGTGGCCAGATTTTCTCACTCGGTCGCAAAGTCACACAACACGTTCGTGATTTCGCTTAAATCTGGCGATGTTTTGGGCAAGGATGAGGAGATCGGACTCTCTCTAATGTAAATGGGCGTTGTAAGGCAACCTGTGGCGAGCTGAGTTATGAAATACCTTGGTTGTAAGAGACGGGAAAAAGAGGAAGAAGAAAAGGGCGAGGTGGATGGATAGCATCACTGGACGAGGAGGAAAGAACAGCGTTCGGAGCGGAAGAAGGAGAGATGGGTCTCCAATTCCGAGACGAGTGATGCGAATTTGAACTGGGAAGGTGCCTTCAAGAACAAATCAGGCAGGCACGGTTCTTCCAATGTCCTCGATTCTCTTCCATCGCAGTTGCCATCGGGAACCTACAGACTGCAGTTGATGCCTAAGGTCAGAGATATACCTAAGGTGAAGTACCCCACCTCAGGAGTCAGGTAAAGGTTCCTCGAGAGTCCCCATGCACTTGACTTGAAATTGGATTCCGTGGTTTCATTAGTGTATTAAAAAGCAGACGAGGGGAATTCGTTTGGAGAATTCTAGGGGTTGACAAAAAAAGGTACAAAGAGAGAAAAGGCTTCATGTTGTAGACACTACCTTCAAGTCAGTAGGTAAGGTAGACTGTAGACATTTAAGCAAAGATAGGAACCTAAAAAAAGGCCATGATGATGGCAAAGCAGAGGCAGGCTCGTTCAACGAAATTTCCCATATCCTAGCCTCACTTCCCAATTAAACTAGGACAACGAATTTGTCAAAAGAAACCTAGCATCAGGTTCCCTCATTCAAAGCCCAATATCCCACCGGTCGAGCAACAGGAGAGTCAGTTCAAACTCCCGGATTGACGACGCAAACCGCCCGTCGCTTGATTTGGCGCCTTGTGTTATCTCCATGACACTACGCCATAAACTTTCGGGCCTTTCGACAGACCGTAGGTTCCAATTCTGATTACTGTTTAATTCCTTAATTCCCGTTTCAAGTCGGCCATAAAGAATGAGAATGATACTCGTTCGGGACGCGTTGCACAGTGCTGCAAATCACAGTGTACACTCAGAAGGCGCCATCTTTGCTTTAATCATTGGCAAAAGAGAAAGAGTAAGCTGGAGAAGGTTTATTTGCAAACACAAAGAGAAGGTCGATTAGTGAGGTTCGTTGATAGAGGTTCATTGGTGCCGTAGAATGAAGTAGGCTGTCTTGTCACCTGAAATTGATATTAGACACAAAGGGGGCGTGTTCACTTATATAATCAACTAGATAGTCTGTGACGCCACAACTGCATGAACCTCACTTGACGAAGGTATTCCATCGCTACGTCGCAACACACCCAGCCACAGGCCTCAATTGTCACACTCACCACAGACATTATCGACCATGGCCCTGGTCCGTCGCAGGCCAAGGTGGTGTGAATTCCGGCACCTTGATCAGTCAATATCTCGATCTTGAAAGTACCCAGAGACTTTCAATGAACAGAAACCTTGCGCTTTAGTTTGATTTGTAGTTCAAGTTCTCAACCGTTTAGCTTTGGGATCTTTGGGACACTGTTCATGTTGTCATGTTGTCATCTAACCAAAACGTAGAACCGCCCTTTTCAGTCTTAAGATGTAATTGATTCCAACAATCAATCTTCTATTAATAGTGAAATTTGCCACATACATGTACTGGTATCGAGCTAGCGGCCTTCCTGAGCACCAACGAGCCTCAGAAGTGCTGAGGAGACTCTAGTGTCTCAGGTGCGTAACTTGGGAGTAACCAGAATGTCGAAGACTCTTGTCGTTTGACTTAACACCGTGCTGCCTGGAGTCTTTCTAAAAAGACATTTAATTCCACGTGTAGAGAGATTCGAACGTGAGATTTAATCTTTAATGACTTTACTACTTGTTTATAATCTGTGGGATCATATGACCGTATACTCATATGCACATAGAGTTGGACAATAACAAATAGTTCCTTATAAAAAAGAAAGAAAAGAAAAAAAAATTCATGAACGTTGAAAGCAATCATTAAAAAGGAAGAAACATTATCTGTCTTGTAGCGGAGTCAAAGCCAGCATTCTGATTAGTCGATTAACATTGCCAACATCATCTGCGTGGGGCATGGCGTGATCATAGACTCACACTCTTGTTACCTTAATGATGAACCCGATGTCTGTAGCTCGCAGGTTCCAGTTGGCCAATTCATCTTATCAGAACTTCGGGGTCAACCTCGGAAGTCTTGACATGGATCCATTCTTTACTGTTAATGCTGGCCCTGCTGGTCTGCGTCCACCCCTGATCCTACGTAGTGCCGGGGAATTGAAGGTTTGTGTTCTGAGGCGACTTAACATGCCCACTTTAACAATTGCGTGCTGTTTTTGTTATCTTGATTTGGCTACGACACTGCAATACTCATGCAAACTCTGTAATTCCGAATTCTTCATGGATCCTGACGTGCTCGCCGACCGGGAAGTGCACGACAGTGATAAAATCAGCTAGCTGCTGCAAACCAAAAAAGCTGGGTGAACTCCCAGAGCGGTCTAGATCACTGTATCGGATACTCATACCGCTGAAAAAGGTGATTATCATGGCTCCCGCTCGTTTAGCCCAGATCTATCGATCGTGTCTTTTTCAGATCATCATTGTGGGGATTGTGGCATTTTGTGAGCCGGGAATTTGGACGGCACTGAACAATCTTGGGGCTGGCGGAAACGCATCCGTAAGTCTCGCCTTGTTTGATTAATCGTCCTTCCTATGCTGATAAATCTTTGGATAGCCTCTCTTGAACAATGCCGCCAACTCCCTCACATACGGACTCATGTCTGTCGGGTGTTTCATAGCAGGAGGCATAACGAACAAAATTACAGCCAAATGGACCCTATTCATCGGTGCGGCATTCTACACTCCCTATGCAGCAGGGCTCTACTGCAACAATCGCTATGGAAATGAGTGGTTCTTGCTGCTTGGTGCCGGACTTTGCGGCATTGGAGCTTCGCTCTTGTGGGCAAGTGAGGCAGCCATTGCCGTTGGATACCCCGAAGCGGAGAAGAGAGGCCGGTAAGTTCTTTTCCCCCGTGTAATTTGACACGACTTAGCCGCCGACTGATAAAATATCGTCTAGCTATGTCGGAATCTGGATGGGTATTCGACAAATGGGACCCCTCGTTGGCGGCGCAATCTCCCTGGCTCTGAACATCAAGACGGCTGAAAAGGGCAAGGTTACCTACACGACATATCTCGGCTTAGTTGCCATTTCATCGTTAGGAGCACCAGCTGCTTTGCTCCTATCACAACCTCAGAAAGTCATCAGAACCGATGGTACAAAGATTCCATACATGAAGCAGACCAACTTCGCAATCGAAGCTAGGGCCATTTGGAAACAGCTGAAGAACAAGTACATGTTACTGCTTATCCCCGTTTTCTTGGCTGGCCAGTTCGGAACAACCTACCAGGGAAATTATTTAACAAGTACGTCTCACGGATAGCGACCCCTATTCACGACCACACAGGTAACTAACATTCCGTCAAAAGCCTACTTTACTGTCCGGTCCAGAGCGCTGGCATCGTTCCTCACGGCCATTGTCGGTGCCGCCGCAAATATTACCACCGGCGCAATTCTTGACGTCAAACGTTTCGAACGGTCGGCCAAATCCAAGGTCGTCTACATCATTATTCTGGTATTCATTACTACTGCATGGATCTGGAATGCCATCATTGAGACACGCCTATCCCGCATGACCGATCCACCATCTTTCGACCTGGGCGATGGTCCATTCTTCAACTCTGCGTTTACAGTCTACATGTTCTTCAAGTTCTTTTACGAGATGCTGCAGACATACATCTACTGGCTGATGGCTGAGATCAAGGGCGCTCAGGGTGATGGTGATATCGCGCGCACCACGGGAATCTTGCGATCTTGGGAATCGATTGGCAGTACGATTGCTTACGCTGTGGGAGCGACACACTGGCCCAACAAGAACCAGATGATTTTGGGATTCTCTCTTTGGGCTGTTACAATTCCTTTCACCCTACTTGCTGTTTTTGGTAACTGGAACCAAGGTGGGGAAGAGATTTTGGAGAATTCGGATGAGACTGAGAGTGATCCTGGTGTCGAGAGAGTTGCGGTTCAGAGCAAGGGAAACCAAGTATAAGAGTACATCGAGTCGATCCTAGAAGGAATGTTTTGAGGGCTTCTCAGAATGATGAGAACACCAATATATACGCAGCCTACGGATCAGGGGACTTGAACGGTCTACCTTAGTCGACACACCTTCCATCGTGGAGTGCTCTATCGAAGCTGTAATTCATTAGATTCTATCGGCGGATGAAGGAGAACAAAATTAAGTTTCCCCCGCAAACTGTTTCTGATTGCAGGTACCGAGAAGTTGAACCTTGCGCTTTTGGTCACTTCAAAATTGAGGAATCATGAAATCACTTCTTGTATTGTCCAGTACCTCGATGATGAAATGTCGGCAATTTGTTACGGAAAGAATGTTCAAAGTGTCAATTTCGCCCAATTAACTAAGGTGGTGTAAAAGGAATGCTATCAATATCCAACGCCAAGTATGAGATGCTCAAGTCTCGCCATGATCCTTGCCCCCGGTCTTTCTGTCTTCTACAAATTTCAAATCAGAATGCAATCGCTTCATCGAGACACATCTTCTTGTTGTCATCCATTCTGCCCTTGCCTCTACTACAGCAGTCGATCGCCGCGCAGAGCTGTGAGTCACTCTGGCTCGCCGTAGCCGTCTTTGGCACCTGCTGCTGCGCCGGCCAGATCTCGCTGCCGGACTGTTGCTCCTTCTTCCAGTGCTCGGTGATGATCTCGCGCACCGTCTTCTGGAAGAAAAGAGGACCCTTCTCCATCTCGGGGTGTAGCTCGCCATTGACGAAGATGCCGGCGTTGATGTTCTTCTGGGCGTTGGCGCAGAGGTACTTATCTTCGGACATGATGCGCTTGTACATGTCACTGATGACATTGAAGTCCTCATCGCCAGAGTTCTTGTTGCGGTATACCTCATAGCG